ATTATAACTATTTTTTATTTTAATTAAAACCAAATTATAACTTCATATATGTAGGAAGAAATGACATTTCTGTGATATTGAATCTTCGTTTCAATGTCCATTATATGTATTTTTAGTAGTTCATCAACTTTATGTTTAAATTTTATTTTTAATATTTTAACATGTGTTCTAATAGACAAATCATGCTTAAAATCATTTTAGATTACCTTTTAAAAAGAGCGATAGTGTTAACAATATAGCTCATTCTTTTTGTGACATTAGAGTGAAAGGAAATATACAATTCGTTGTCACACAATACAGGATACTTTTATGATGATTTATACTTAATATTTTATCACTGATTTTAAATGCAACAGCTCACTATTTATTATATTTTCTCTTATTGTTTCCTAGATAACATTAAAGGTTTTATGTAAAACAGTAAGTTTTCTCTGATCAAGAAGAGAAAACTTTTAATTATTTTCATGAGAAAGATTAATATATTTAAAAGTATTATTATATAATGACTGTTCTATCACTTTAGTACTCTTGATATCCCATAATGTAGTTAGTAGTAAAAGAATTAGCACACTATTCAAAACATTTATACAATGTTAATAATTTCTGTAAGGGCTAATTAAATTTTATCTTTAATTTAAAAGACTTAGAGCCTCAATTTAGGTTGTCATCAGAGTAATCATAATATTAAGGAATCCTACTTCTAGTTAGATAAATATTCCTGGCAGAAAAGGAGATAGAGAAGATACATTTAATCCTTGTTACTCTATTCACTTAAATTAATCGTTTTCTTTAAAAGATCAGGTCTTTATTTTTCCGCATAATTTTCTACATATAAACTAACCAGACATAATTTTAATGTCGTTTTCATGTAATTTTTTAAAATTTCAGTATTCTATTTTAGCCCTATTTAAATATAGATATCTAGGTAGACAGAGAGATAAATGTTAAGTAACACATTCCCCTTTCTTCTTTAAGATTGAACGCCTCTATTGTCAACATGCAGCCATTCAGTTGGCCAGTACTAGATGTCCTTTGAGTCCCAGGAAGCAGAACTTGCAGATCTAATACTGCTGTCTGCATTTGAGTTGTTGTAAATTGTATTTTCGTAACTTTTGCCCATTTTAAATGATATTATGTTGTGATTATAGCTGCCAATAAATTGTAACACTTTTTCACAGTACCCGTTAAACATTTTTAATATCTCCTTGAAAGATATTTCTTCTGAACTATTATTTCTTTATTGAGTTTGAGTGTGGAATTTTTCCCATATTTTTTTCTTTTTGCAATTTTATGGTAAAATCATGTCTTTTATATCTTCTGGGTCAACTGTCTTGGTTAGAAAGGTTTTCTCCTTCAAACATTGTGAAAATAGACTAC